AAATCCTGGTGATACCAACGATTGCCGCAGAAATCTAGAGAGGAATACGTCATCGCCTATAGCAACGTCATCACACTCTACAATCAAATTCTTCTCTTACTTCTTTAAATCTTTGGCGCAATCAAATTGGAGATATGGGAGCAACAGCTTTAGCAAAGGCTCTAGAATCAAATTCTTCTCTGACTTCTTTGGATCTCACTGGTAATAAAATTGGAGATACAGGAGCAACAGCTTTGGCAGAGGCTCTAGAATTAAATTCTTCTCTGACTTCTTTGAATCTCATTAGTAATGAAATTGGAGCCACAGGAGCAACAGCTTTGGCAAAGGCTCTAGAATCAAATTCCACTCTGACTTCTTTAAATCTTCAGTACAATCAAATTGGCTCCACAGGAGCAACAGCTTTAGCAAAGGCTCTAGAATCAAATTCTTCTCTGACTTCTTTGAATCTTCATGGGAATAAAATTGGTGATACAGGAGCAATAGCTTTAGCAAAGGCTCTAGAATTAAATTTCTCTTTAACTTCTTTAAGTCTTTGGTATAATGAAATTGGTGATACTGGAGCAACAGCTTTGGCAATGGCTATAGAATTAAATTCTTCTCTGTCTTTTTTAAAACTTCAGCACAATCAGATTGGAGATGCAGGAGCAACAGCTTTGGCAAAAGCTCTAGAATCAAATTGTTTTCTGACTTGTTACTTTGAAAACAAGCAAATTTGATATACTAGTACAGGAGCAAAGGCTCTGGAATCAAATTCCTGTTTGACTTCTTTGGTTCTTTCTATTATCATTACTATTACACACAGAACAAACATGTTAATACTAATAAAGAACTCAATTTCCATTTACAAGGACAAAGACTAAAACATTATTATTGTACGATATAAATAGTTAACTATAGTAATAGAATATATTGATTACCAAGTCACTATGAAACGTGTAGGTAACAACTACAATGAGACTTTATTACAATAACAATTCAATATAACGCCTCAGCATTTTTTTTATAATTGTCGAGTCAACAATCACAGGGAGAGTAATCAACTGTTACTCTCTAAATACAACGACGTTTATTATTGATCTTCGTGTAACAATCTTGAGATTTACCGGCGTTCTCCTACCAATGCTAACATCCAGTAGACACTTAAAACAGGGCATTACAATACTTACAAATCCGTTTTCGTAGAATATGCGCTTTTGTAAATTTGCGAATAAAAACTCGCTGGGATAAGGCAAAAGTCTATCGTGCGGGTAAGTTTTCGGGGTATACGCCGAGGTACTAGAAATTCGATGGCAAAATTCGAATATGCAATTAAAACTTGTAGACGTTGAATCAAAGAACTCTTAAATTTTATTAACCAAGTCTACTCTATATTGACTTTATCACTTCTTTTTTATCAATAATAATGCCCTGACGGATGAATTTCATAACGCACCTGGGAAGTAATAATATGTACTGTAAATGGGAAACTATCACGTCATTAATTGCGTAATATTTTAAACTGTTAATTATTTAATTACTACAGTATCATAACAGCCACTTAATAATGGAATACAATATTTTATAATTTTATATGTTTAATAATCGACTTTATCGGGACAGGTATCACTCGACCAATAGAATTTTCATACTGATTTTTTGACATTTACAGTTTACGAAATAATAAAAAACTTCCATCCTGCAACACATTTTTTCTAAAACAGCTAAACGCACCCTGTCTGTTGAAAACAGATTCAATGACTAGTTAAAAAATGAAGCTCAATAAACATATTGCTTCATCCTCATCATCGTAGCCATGTGAACAAAAGAGCAAAAGTTGCTTTGCAGAGTGCAGTCAAACCTCAAGTATGAGGCATCCACGATTCGGTATGAGACATTCGGTATAGTCAGGTACCTCTATATAACGAAGTTAGATCTAAGTTTAAGCAATATAAAGCTTACGTAAATAATATTTTTATTTCAATTACAATCAATTATACATGAATATAATAAACACTTGCACTAAATCAGGTAACAAATGAATCTATAAAGACAGTAGAATATATACGTATAGCGTTCCAACGTGTAGGCTTTCCTTCTGCAAAATGTCATAAAAATGTTTACTAAATTTAGAAATACCACAGGTGGATACGAAATATGATGGTTGACATACGCTTAATACTGTAATATCGGCGACGCGAAATCTCGTCTGCTACAGCCAATAACTATTCTACATTTGTATTACATGATAAATTTTGGTATATGTAAAAATCCTGCGGTATAACGAGGTTCGACTGTATTAGAGTCCATTAATATGCTGTTTAACGTGTAATATACTAAGAACGGCGCAGATACGTAGTCACCCGCTTATAGTTTGGCTTTTTTAGATTATCTGTGATCTCAGTTGCATGTTAATTTGAAGTGCAAAAAACCTCAATAGGTGTAACACGTTTAAGAGTCTCAGGATTTTCGAGATGCAGCGATGTTATATAAACTGTGGTAGATCTTCACAAGAAAATAGGGACATGTGAAAATGGACATCTCACAGACCAATTCCAGGACATTATGAATACCGTTCACCCAAATCGGTATTGAATCATGCAAACACATCGCCTGAAAGTGCGTTGGATAAAATGACATTAAGAAACCCACAAATGGAATGACAAAAACGAATACGAAAAAGACGACCTGGAAACCGTTAACATCAATATCATAAACACGGTTCTCATCAAACTGACGAACCGTACATCGTAACATCGACAGCAGTAAGACTGCAGAAAGATAAGCGAGAACGCGCACTCTAATAAAAAAACACAAAGAACGGAGTGAGCAGCTGCGGCTGCGGGTATAACGGCTTCTCTGTAAGGGGTACTGTTCCCAGAGCTGCTAAGCCAAGTGAGTATTGTTGTTAGTCAGTTAGTTAAGCGTTAGCCACACCAGCATCTGACATGATAAAATTCTCACTTTGTCTCTGATAATGATAATCAAAGTAACACACTTATCTCAACCAAGTTTACGTTTTGGTATCAAATTAATACAGACTTGAAATGCGACCAATTTTGTTGCAGTTTGTCCCATTACACTTACTAAATTTACTTGCAAGTTACTTGGTAATGGTCTGCTTGTGTGAAGGGAAAAGATTAAACAAAGAGAGGAAGACGGAGAAAAAGCATTGCGATAATTATAGATAAATGTCTACAAGTAAACTTGGTTCGACGTATAATACCTAAATTTATGTTAAACACTAACTGCTGCGTATTACAGCAGGGGGGCTTACTACTCATTCAATTGTTTTTGTAATGCAAAGTTACTGTAATCGAGTAAAATTGTTATGAATGCATCGACGTACAGTATATTATCTTGCCACTCTTTTTTCGATTGTCCTGTCAATGTCACCAACAATGTGTTACCATTCACCTGCAGCATATTTAACCTTTTCTGATTGTGGGTAGTACAACTCTGTCATCGTGCAGAATCAGATAATTTCTTATCATGACGCAGCGCTACGCCATACTTTACTGTAAAGTTTCGTCATTGTAATTGTACCATATACTTTACTTGTACAGTTTCAGCCAAAAAGATGATGACTAATTCGGCAATGGGGTTGTTCCACTCCCCCAACGTTAATTCTGAGATAACGTAAAAATATATTAATTTATCTGTCTACAAAGTTGGCTTTCAATTGTTGCCTTAATCTTTGCATGGGTCGTTTTAATAAAATCCTGTGGTGCCCTGACTTTTGGACAGAGTCTCTGCATAAAAAATCGCGGGTCCGCAGCTTTTTTTGCGTAACTCATCTATCCTGAATTTGAGGATGCATACAAGTTCGATTCCGGAAAAAGGGCCTCCGTTTCGAAGATCGTTTGGAATGTCACGGACCTACAAGAATTTTTTTTTGTAACACTATTACTATTGGTTAACATTAATGCAAAACGCAATATGATCGAAGAATTTTATTAAGATTAAACACGATTAATATTAATATCTGTCTGCGCCACGAGAAGAATTTCTTTGAAATAAAGTATTTTTTGGACGCTCGTTCCCCTTTGTAGCAAGAAAAAACACCACCCCCTACGCTCGGGAAAAACTTGCTAGACGAAATAACTTTTATCTGAAAACTAATTGAGTATCAACCATGGCTCTTCGTAAGTAGTAAATCCACACATATTCAACTGTTGTGTAGTGGCGGGGACAGTGAAGGGAAGCAACACGCATTCTTAAAAATGGCGTATACAAGTATACTGCTGAAACCATATGTGTTGTTACTGTCCCGTTCGTTGGCTACTCCGGTGACAATCCATAATAGTTCTGTATTTACTTGTATTAATGACGTCCCTACTTATATACTAATACTAGGTGCACAGTTTGAAAACAGTAACGATATTGGGGTATTCTCTCGTCTAACCAATGCATATTGTCTTGTCGCTTTCGGGGGTTCTGAAAACTTTTACAGGTATTCCGCGGTTGTGATTGAATTTCAAAGATGATATAAACTGGATGGGTTGTTGATGGGATTGATTGCGTTCGGAGAGAATATTAGTGCCTTGGTGAATTATTTTAGTTGTAATGTAGTCATCCTCTCGTTCTTATAGATGTTGCTAATTAATTGATACCATCAAATACATGTAGCGTTTTTGAAGGTGAATTAGGCGAGGTCATTCCTGTAATCCACACGTCAATAGCTGGAACACGGATTGTAGGACGATTAACAGTGGGTAAGCTTTGCTTTGATTAAAACACATTGAATGACAGCTATATGACAAACCTTTCCTCTGTACTCAACCGCCTCGCTTTTCGTGCCATCTTTATCAGGCAACCGCAGGGGACTTTTAGTGCCAGTTACAACTACAGACCAGGAATTACAGCACCTTCGCAACAGCCTTCCCGACTCTGTCAAAATCCAGCGCATAGAAGAGCGACTTTCCGCTCTCGGCAATGTGATCGCATGTAATGACCACGTCGCGCTTGTTCATCCAGAAATCGATCGAGAAACACAAGAGATCATTCGAGACGTATTGGGCGTTGAAGTATTTACACAGACTATTGCGGGAAATGTACTCGTGGGGAGTTACTGTGCTATAAGCAATCAAGGAGGATTGGTAAGTGGATGTGTGTGAGAGAAACGGGGGATGAGATTTATGTAAGAGAGTAGAAACAGCAAGTATTTGAAGGCATAATTGTTAATATTGTTATTATTACAATTCAATAGGTCCATCCCAGAACGAGTATTGAAGATCAAGACGAGTTATCTTCGTTACTACAAATCCCATTAGTGGTAATTACTTCATCACAAGTTTTTGCTGGTGGCAATTAGTGCTCGAGCCTTCTTACCGTTTATTTCTTATGTTCCGCTTATTCATTCTTTTATTTCAATCAACAGGCGGGCACGATCAACAGAGGATCGGATGTAATCGGTGCCGGTCTAGTTGTAAATGATTGGTGCGCACTGGCAGGGGTTGATACAACTGCAACGGAATTATCGGTAGTGGAAAGAATTTTCAAACTTCAAGATTCTCAGCCATCGGCTATTGTCACAGAATTGAGGGACTCATTGGTGGATTCTACATAACCGAAAAAATACATAAGCATAGAGATAAACTCTTTTAATTTAGTAAAATTTGCTTAATATTAAGCATTGGGCGTGCTTAGCATTTAGGAAGGCTAATATGTAATAATCCAACAACACACATGTAAGACAAGCAGCCAAAAAAAATCTTTTCCAAAATAAGGCGATTACAAAATAAAAGTATAAATATTAATCAGAAATAACTCCAAGGAAATTGCTCATTACTTTTAGTACCTTGAATGATTAGGTTCAATTCCTTATCATATGTCAATGGCGGCCCTGTTCTCTAATTCGCCTGCCTTCTATTGGGTCAAAATTATGCCATCTTGGTTATGAATATTGTTAGTTTTAAAGTTTTCTTGTATGCACTGAAGCATGATTAAAACGCGTATTCAAGATTTCTACATTTGCATTCTACTTCAGGTTTTACGTAAAACACATCCATCATTCCATTACCACCACGTCTAATTGTTGGGAGAACACAATCGACATCACATCATTCTTTCTGACGAAATCTTGAACGAAATCTTGGTTTTTCTGTCAATGCAATAACATAATTTTATTCGTTAATGGTTTCGTTAATGGTAATTTATTAATTATGAAATCGGCCATTAACAGTTGGGAACGGAGCCGGAAAAGAATTCATTCGGAAAATATACATTTTCGGACTTTTGAAACAAAAGTTTCTTTGTAATATCACGAATTGGAATGCTATGTTAAATAAAATTATAGTATGGGTTTTTTTAAAACTTGTGATTGGTCGATCAATGGCTAATATTTAATATAAAATAAAAATACTTAATAGCCGCAAAGCTGAACTTTCAGAATCAATATCGAATGACTCGTCGCAAAAAAGACATCGATGACGGTTTAGACTCCAGCTCTGAAGAAGAGTACGAATCTTTCGACATAACCGAGGCAGATCTCCTTGCTGAAAGCGAGCTCTTTACAGGCAAGTTGCAATCTTGCTGGAAAAAAAACCTGCTCAACCAATTCAACTTGCGATTAATATTTAATTGTAGATCCAAACCGCCGACGTAAACGTAAAAAGTTTACGAAAGAAGAAGCTTACTTGGGGATATTTGCAGAGACAGAAGCCGATGAGAATGAACCAAGACGAAAGACCAGGTATGAGTTTCTATAAACTTGGCGCAGGTGGGAGTCGAATATTGCTTGCTATGGTTGTTGCTATTTGCCGTGTGCCTATGTTGCTTTTCGTTGTTTGTTAATGCTTATCTTTCTATAATCACTGCATCCATAGTGAAGTAAGATTCGTCCAGTCACGCGCAATGTCCCCAACTCGTGAGCAGGTTCAGCAGACTCAAGCTAAAGAAAGAGAGACTGAAAATTCTGAGCAGTATGGCATTGGATTCAAGTTGTTGCGCAAGCAAGGCTTTGAGCCAGTAAGTTGATCAACATTAGAACTATCTAATCGAATTCTGAATTTACCGCTCAATATGTTTACATTCGTTTAATCTCAGGGTAAAGGTCTCGGCAAGTCACGCGCAATGTCCCCAACTCCTCGTGAACAGGTTCAGCAGACTCGAGCTAAAAGAAGAGAAACTGAAAATTTTGAGCAGTATGGCATTGGATTCAAGCTGTTGAAAGATCAAGGCTTTGAGCCAGTAAGTTGATAAAACATGAGAACTATCTAATTGAATTCTGAATTTACCGCTCAATACATTTACATTCGTTTAATCTCAGGGTAAAGGTCTCGGCAAGTCAGGAGAGGGCATAGCCGAACCTATTTTAGTGAAGCCGAGACCTACAAAAATGGGTTTAGCCTATCGCAACTTTCAAGAGAGGACTCAACAGGCAATAGACGATGACAGGACGTGAGTTTATAAATAGAATCATGTTTATGTAAACAAAATTGTTATGATCATTTTAATCTTGATACGCTCAATTGACATGCATTGATCAGGAAACAAGATGCTGCTAAAGAGACTGAAAAGGCGGAAGTATCTCGACCACAGAAAAAAAAAGCATGGAAGAAATCGTCAGAAAAAAAAGTTAAAATTGCATACAAGACTGCAGATGAAATTATGAACGAAGCAAGCGCATTTCCTGCAGTACAGCCTATGAAAATTATAGACATGACAGGACCACAGGTAAATTTTTATCCATATCACAGTGTCTTTATTTCAAAGAGACTTTTCTTTGCTTACGTTTGCGTTTCCCCCCTCTAGATTAGAGAATTATCTTCAGCTAGCGAAATTAGTTCCCGACCGAAAGAGACTTTCACGCGTCTCCCAGAATTGCGGCATAATTTCACGTTGCTTGCAGATAAAGCCACAGCAAATCTAGAACATCTAACGAGAGAATTACGTATACAAGAACAAAGAACAAAGGTCTTGGAGCAAGAGGTTAAGAGAAAAACCGTGCTTTTAGAAGAAAAAGAAAATGGTAAGGAAAATTAATGTTTTTCGTTGTATGTTTGAATTTGTAATTTTAACTTTGCTTTTCTTTAATCAATATTCAGTGATGAATGACTTTAGTGGAGTCTTTAAGCTTATCAACGAATGCTACGCCATATTGATGAATAGTAAAGGAACGGTTACACCATCGCTTCATGTGTTTAGCGAGCCGTTTGAAAAATTGCAAACTGAATATGAAGTTGAATATGAGCAATACGGGTTGGATGCTGTTGTAATTGGTCTAATAACTCCTATTGTAAGTAATTGTAATGCCCATATTTATTTTCCGTGCTTTTTACGGAAATATCATTCTAACTAATTTTGCTTTATAGTTCAAAAGGAGTATGGTCGACTGGGATCCGTTAGCAGATCCAGCGCTCAATTTAACCGCTCTTCAACAATGGCTTCCACTATTGAAGATGAACTTGCCAGCTTCTGAACGTCTCGCAACCAATAATAATAAATTTTCGAGCCAAGTTGCAATGACACCTTACGAAAGCATGATGTATAATATCTGGCTACCAAAACTTCGCTCAGCGATCAAGTACGTGCGATTTGTTTGTACTTTAAGTCTATAATGATTCTTATAATAACTGAACTCTTTGTTTTATCTAGTAATACGTGGAAAGTGAGAGACTTTGATCCAGTAATTGCACTTCTCGAAAAATGGAAACCGCCATTGCTACCAAGGTTTATATATGACAATATAGTAGATCAATTGATAATGCCAAAACTTCAAAAAGAAGTGGATAATTGGAACCCAAAAGAGGATAAGGAAATGATACACCATTGGTTACATCCATGGTTGCCCATTTTTGGAGATCGAATGGAACCATTATACGTGATTATTCGACAGAAACTTAGAGTCGCATTACGGACCTGGCATCCAAGAGATCCAAGCGCTTTTGCTATATTATTTCCGTGGAAAAATGTAAGTTTTAGCAAACATGACTCTTTACAGAGAAAAGAGCAAACAGTGTTTAACATTATTTCTATCAACTAATAATTAGGTATTTCGCGAGAATGATATGCAGTCCTTTCTTCGGAAATCTATTCTTCCAAAGCTTGCTGACGTGCTGCGTGATGAATTTGAAGTGAATCCACGAGATCAAATTCTTGGTATGTAGTCTACAAATGCCGTAAATCATGATTTGTACGAGTTGCTAATATAAATTTTATCGTATTAGATTCTTTCAAATGGGTGACGATTTGGCGATTTCTGTTTCCCCCGGACGTCCTTGGACAAACTTTTGCCACAGAATTTTTCCCCAAGTGGTTAGATGTACTTTATATATGGTTAACGCATTCACCGAATTACGAGGAAATAGATCAATGGTAAGGGTTTAATTATAAAAAATTTTACATTTTTGTTGTAATAAAACATACTTACGGATCAACCGTCTTTTAGGTATTCGTTTTGGGAGTCACAGTTTCCGTCCAAGTTGTTATCTACACCTGCAATAAACGCGAGATTTAAACAGGGTTGGCAAATGATAAATCAAGGTCGAATACTTGGTGATCAAACCGCCACAAGGTTAATTTTTTTTTACCTATTTGCCTGTGAAAATTTCAATGTCACATTCGACTTTAACATTAACACCTTAATGTGAAAACTTTACTAGACTCACTCGGCCATCTCAAGTGCCTGAAGTGGCTGCAGATACATCATCCATACCGACCACGGCAGTGCCCCTTGAAACGCAAATGATGGCAGAAGATTTTAGCTTTAGAGAAGTTGTTGAAGATTTTGCTCAAGAACACAACTATCTATTCTTGCCAGCACATAAAACACACGCAGAGACAGGAAAGGCTATATTTCGATTTGGCGGCACGGTACAGAACACGGGAGGTGTACTTGTTTATTTGGATGATGATGTTATGTTTGCTCAGGATGGGGATGATTGGCTGCCAATAAGTTTTGACGAAATCTTAGAAAAGGTTGAAATTATTAATGGTAATAAGGGTCGATAGACCGGGACTGCAAACTGTTGATGGGAAGAAATGTTAGAAAGGTCGTAATAAAAACTAGATGACTACTGATTCATTCAATCACATTACAGTAATAAATTATAAAATAAAAGTTTCAGATCAATGCGATTGATTTATTAATTCAAACCGATTTCACTAGTCAATCCATAATTGCGATAAAAAATCGATTCGGTGCGTGAGGTCTTACAAAAGAAATCTTGCGCATTTCTCTGATATTTCGTCCAAATCGACTAGGAATGAATAACAATGCATTTATATTTAAAACTTTAACGCGTGATATGTCTTTGCGCACATTCGCGTCGTTTATTCAAATTAAACTGCTTGTCTCACAACTTGCACATTGCGTCACCATTTGAGCAATAAAAAAACTTTTTTTTTTTGACGAGAAAATAAACGAAAAAAAAACCCTTAATTAAAGATGGTTTTATTATAATATATGTATGAGTAAATAAAAATATGTATGCATGATGATCTCTTATGCTGGGTGAGCCACAGCTTATGCCATGAAAAATATATCGCTTGACGGTGTTTGTTTCCTGAAAGCACCTCGGCGGTAATTGCATTACGTCCGGAAAAAGTTGTAAATTTTCAAAATTCTAGATAGACACAAGCTTGCTCACGATTATTTTATTTGAAAACTGGCGGACGCAACATTTATAGTTTGAAAACTTGTGCTTGACTACAAAGTATTTTCTCAGAGAAGAACCAACTTGGCATAAATTGATAGCGGTACTTTGTTATTATTATTATTATAGAACGCGTCGATCTTGCCGAGTCACATGGTGATTATCAATTCTACTATCACGTGTTTGCTTTTTTTTTCTGCCATCTTAATCTCCCAAATTTGCACACCAAAGAATGCTTGCCACCTGCCACAGCTGAGCCACGAGACAGTCTTTATCTTGATTTGCAGTCTACCTTATATACTAGAAAAATGAATGAATTGACGACTCTTTTCACGTTCCGTCGCGCTGCTGCAAGATCTTTACCGACTCGCACCTTGTTTGGGAAGAATTCGTTTACCGCGCAACGCCGCACATTTAATTTGGTTCCGGCAAGAAAAAGTTCCGTTTCCTCTACACCAGAAACCGATCAACCTCAATGGACATCCGAGTCTGTTCGTCTTGGAGTGATTGCAAGAAAAGAGGGCATGAGAGCAATATGGGATGAATGGGGCGTCCGAGTTCCTGTGACCGTACTAAAAGTGATATCTCTATAGCATTCTTATCGTGTTGATGTGTGTCATAAGAAGAAGTTTTGATGGTTACTTTGCAAACTGATATTTTCGCTTTTCACTATGACGATTGCCCCCCCCCCCTCTTTTCCGACTCGACTCCCCGATAACTTACACAAAGCAAGCTGGAAAACTGTCAGGTGATTCAGGTGAAACATAATGAAAAAGACTACAAACCCGGGTTAGTTGCTGTAGAAGTTGGATGTACAGACATGAAAAAGAATGTCACTAAAGCTTTGTTGGGCCATCATGAGAAACACGGTGTGCCGCCAAAGCATAAAAGGATGACGTTTTGGATCACCAAAGATGCCGTGTTACCTCCCGGTATGCTTGCGGTCGTAATGTCTTGATTGAGAGTAAACGTTTATATTTCGTATTTACTTTTAATGATTGCCTTTATTTTACAGGCACCGAGCTAAGATCTGCACACTTTGTCCCCGGACAATATGTTGACGTGCAAGCAAAAACGTACGTGTACTTTACTAATGAGTTTTGATTCGGTTCCACTTTTGTCTGTTTACAATTATTGCATTGCAACAGAATTGGGAAAGGTTTCGCGGGTGTGATGAAACGTTGGGGTTTTGCAGGTGCTCCCGCATCTCATGGTACATCCTTAGTTCATAGACATGCTGGATCTACCGGAGCGCGGCAGGTACATGTTAGATGGATTATTTTTCTCTTTTCTACATAACATATGTATAACACTTGTTATAATTAGGATCCTGGCAGAGTTTTCAAGGGAAAGAAGATGGCTGGGAGAATGGGCGGAAAAAAACATTCTGTGCAAAATCTTAAAGTTGTAAAAATAGATAATACGCTCAATCTCATATACGTCAAGGGACACGTTCCCGGTTTTGATCGTCAGTTCGTCAGGGTCAGGGACGCTGTGCGTCAAAAGAAGTCTAAACTTTTTCCAAAAGACTGCATACCGCCACCGTTTCCGACTATTGATCCGAAATTATTGGCTACCATGCCAAGAGAATTGATAGCAAAAACTGGTGGTAGTGATCCTTTAATTATTAAAGATCGTTAATAAAAACCGTTCAAGAGGGTACCTAGTATGAAAAAAAACGGGGTAAAATGCAAACAAAACTGACGCACGACCAATAAAAAAACCCAAATGCGTTTTTTGTACCGCAGGACAGAAACAAGTGAAAAAATGGTGGAATTTCTTCTCGGGATTGCCGCATATTAATATAGTATCGATATCAACCAAATGGATAGTGCATGCGCGAGATGCATTCAATGGCAAGGTATTATTACAATCAGCTCACGCCAATCTCTTGGTGTTCGTTCACATGACGCGCCCCTACAATATGTCCCGATTCGAAAAGACTTGTAAATTTCATGATTGGGAATGATAAGGTTTTACCTAAAGAGCAAAGGATGCTCAAAACTTTTCAGTTTGCCGACTAGGAGACATTTTCTCCCACGGTTGAAATCAATCAAGAATTATAATTTATTATGTCATCTATCTGTCTTTGCAGTTTTAAGCAATAATAATAAAGCAAAATTTTAAGTTGTACAAAACTTTTTATCTATCAAAATCCAGTTTCTTTCTTCTTATCTTCTTCCCCACCACTTCCTATCGTAGGTTCGGATAACTCCTGAGTAAACCACATGTCTCTATAAACACCATCCTCAAGCTGAAGAAGTTGGTCATGAGTGCCTCGTTCTAATAGATCAAGGTACTATGAGAAAGGAAACCCAGAACCGCAGTCAAAAAAATACCGGAACCATATCCTTATGAAAACCATACCTGTTATTCGTCCATTCTTCAAGACAATAATGTCATCTATCACAGAATTGTGTGTTTTGTTAAAGAGTGTTATCTTCAAATCTTTCCAGTTGAACGCCCCAAGTTTACCCATCCCTTACTCACCAGCATCAGCGACAGACCTCAACCTATGCGCAACAAATATACTAGTCTTTTCACTTTCGTGCAGGATGCTTTTAATATTCGACAGCAAAGACTGTTCTGTATGAGTATCCAATGCGGAAGTCGCCTCATCGAAAAACCAGATCGGCGAGTTCTTTAATATTGCTCTCGCCAACGCGATTCTTTGTTTCTCTCCACCAGAGACCATTAGTCCGCGTTCCCCCACTCGAGTTTCATATTGATCGGGAAGACTCATTATGACATCGTGAATATGCGCACGTTTGGCAGCCTCTTCAACCTCAGCGCGAGTTGCTGCTATTCGGCCATAGGCTATGTTGTAATAAATCGTATTGTTGAATAGTGCTGTGTCCTGGAAAAGAAAGCGTGAATTCAGAACAACAAGGTTGAATTTAGTGATCAAGGAAAACTTTCTCCTCACCCACTCTACAAAAATTCTGTAGAAACAGTACACGGCCACATACTTTGTGACTCAATTAGCGGAAAAGTTGGCTGAATTACCTGAGGCACAACACCGGTACAGGAACGCAACGAATCAAGTTTGACATCTTTTATGTTTTGTCCGTCGATATAAATGTTACCGGATTCCGGATCATAGAATCGGAAAAGAAGTCGAAGGAGCGTCGATTTGCTGAAAGCATAGATAAGAGTCTTGACGATAAGCAAGTTATCAATGAAAACGAATCAGTCACTATTTATTACAAATCAGTTATGTTATTCTCTTACCCACACCCACTGGGTCCAACTACGGCTATCTTCTTGCCTCTTGGCACCACAAAGCTGATGCCGTGTAAAATCGGTCGATCCGGATGATAGCCAAAGACGACATCTTCAAATCTAATTTCACCGCCCTTGAAAACGAGTTCTTTCGTACCTGGTTTATCCTAATCACGTAAGTACAACGTCAGTTGAATATACTCCTATTGCCTTCTCTCGGCAAACATTCCGTAGTTACAAAATAGACTCTAAATAAACATTGCATGTTTGGGGAAAATTCTTGACATACAAAGTAAGTTACATGGCCCTACGGATTGTTTGCTGAGAAGATTTGATTGGATTAAATTCTTCATTGTTCGAGACATCTGGTACCCGATCGTGGGTTGTACCAAAAATTTTGCACACGTACCTCGATTTTAATTTGGGTTGCTTGCAAGTTAAACATCAGGTCCATGTCAATCAAGCTCTGTTTTAACTCTCTGTAGACAGTCCCCAGGAAATTCAATGGTAATGATAGTTGAAATACGAGTTGGTTAACCATCACGACGTCACCGACGCTAAGGTTTCCTATATCATATTAAATTATAAGCAAGAATTTCAATCCACAAATCCCTTCCTTTTAAATCAATTGCGCAAATTAGTCCCTCCCCCCTCTTACATGTAAAAATAGACAACAAACTCACCTGATATAACTCCTTCGGCAGTCAAATACATCATAGCCGTTAGAGCAGAGCTGAAAATGATGTTTTGTCCCGAGTTCAAGAACGACAAGGAGCTAGCAATTTTCAATGAAGCTTTCTCGTATTTGGAGAGAGCTTTATCATAGCGCTCAACTTCAAGTTTTTCGTTGCCAAAGTATTTTACCGCTTCATAATTAATAAGCGCATCGACCGCCACGGTCGCCGCGTCATTATCTGCTTTGTTGGCCTCTTTACGGAAACGCGTTCTGATCGATAAGGTCGTGTATTACTGATAGGAACGCCAGGTAATAAAAGGTCAAACAAAATTTTTAGAATGGTTACCTCCAAGAAGTAGTCTTTACCGTGAATAGAGCGTATAGCAGCATAGTCAGACTCGTTACAACAGCAAACTTGCTACCATATTGATGAACCTAAAGGCAAAATTTCCAATTAAAAAAATAGACTTGGAAGCATAAATCCTGTTGTAAAAAAAAAAAGAAGCTTCATTACCAATATACCACAGACAAGGCTAATCTCAAGAACCGTCGGAAGCACGTGAAATACCAATGAAGATAACAGAAAACT